ACTTTTCATAGTCTGTAAGGTTGTCCCAGTTCACTCTCAGGGAGTGAATATTGGCTTCTCCTCCTGTAATGATGTTCTTTGCAAGGTTGAAGAAAGTAACGTAATATCCTTCCTCTTCCTGTCCAAGAAGCTCGTTGTACCTTGCACCTCCGTACCTACGCTTGAGTGAAGGAGCAATCCACTTACGATACATCATCACCAATGCACCAGCAGGATACTGCTGAATGGCAGCTCTGTCATCTACATTGTAGATACCCTGGAGTCTGAAGTTTATACCTGCACAAGTCTTGGAGAAGTTCAGCTCATCCTCCCTTGTGAACTCTGAACCATCCACCTTAGTCACTCCTGATTTCATCCTGAGGTATGCTCCGTCCTTGTTTGCCTCGTCAGTATACGCTACCTCGTAGGCATCATAGAGATTGATTTCCTTACCATTAAGCTTGAGTTTGGTATTGCGAGCCAGGGCAAGTCCTGTAGTTGAGGAGAGATAGTCTTCACCCATCTCCAGTCCTGCAAAGAGAAGATTGGTATTGAAGATCTTCGTAAGTCTGGACTTACCATACTTCTTCTTCAATGAGGCATCGTTCCTCTTCTGACCAATATCAAACCTCTCGTTGAAGAGGGACAGCTTGTTGTGAGAAGCATCAGAGCCCGTCTCAGCAAGTCGGTCAGCAGACTCTTTCATATAAATCTTAGATGCCCAGATGACATCCTTTGCATTATAGTAGTCTCTACCCGCAGTCTGAATGAAGATCTGAGTGGCACCAGTAGTGATGTTGGAGATACGCTGATTGATGTTGAGAGCCATCTGAGAGTAAGTGGTAGCCATATTAATCTTGTCTACTACCTTACCGACTGATACCTTATGTCCTCTGATATCCACAACACTATCTTTCCTCAGATGTCCGTAAACGTGCATTGAAAGGAAATCATCAAGACATATCTGAACGGCAGTCTTAGCCTGCTTGATAGTGAAAGGCTGAGAGTATTTAGTGTCTCCATACTCTACATACTCCATAGGCTTTCTTACTCCAACCTTGTTGATATTACGCTCCATAGAAGCAAAGCGAGCATTCTCAAGAGTATTGATAACCTTGTTCATCTCATTGTGCTCTGTAGCCATTCCGACATAAGCCATCATTGCTGAAGCTACATCGTCTGTCATGTCGTCATAAGACTCACTCTTGCCCTTCAGGATATACTTGACAGGAAGCATGTCCACACGGTTACCTTCGAAGTCAACACGTACTCCCTCGTTCTCATACTCTTCATCAGCAGTAGATACCAGAGAGTTCCAGAAGCCCTGTTTCCAAGCGGTGAACTTAGCCGAGACACCATTGGCATCCTTAACCCTCTGCATAGTATCCTTTCTGACCATAATGATACCATTCTTCTTCACACGATGCTGAGGCAACAACTTGTCCACCTCGTGCTTGATAGCCATCATCTCGTCATAGAACTTCTTCTGAGCTTCAGGGAGTTTCTCTGCCTCCTTTGCTGACAGGAACTTACCTGTCTTATGTCCATCCTTATACTCGAACATAAATGTCTGGTCCAGAGACCCTGTATCCTTATGAAGCTTCTCAATGGCCTCTGCCAACCTGTGAGCATACTCATTCTGAGACTGACGAGCAAGGAACTTAGCTTTCCTTACAACACTGTCAAAAGCCTGGAGAACGGGGTCATCCTGGTCAGCCATTGAGTTGATCCAACGAGATACCCCTGAGAGCATGTGAGTCTCTCCCTGAGTAGCAAGCTCATGGATTGACACATGCTTACCCTTATTCTTACCTACAGTGAATGTTATACCCTCATCACCATATACGTCGGCAAGCATACCTTCGAAGAGCGTATTGGAGATTCTCTTGTACTTACTGAAGAACCTGTTTACCACGCCGGTAACAGTATCGATAGTACTCTGAAGATTTCCAGCATCAGTAATCTTACCTTCGTTCAAGGCCTGCTGAATAGCATCCAGTGCCTTGAAGTTGCTGAAGAGCGTATCACGAAGAACGTTCAAGCTTCCGGCAAGTACATTTGCAGGGGCCCCAGAGTTCACCTTGGAGTCCAGAGTAATCTCTGTTCTCTGAAGGAAGTCCAGTGTGCTCTCAAGATACTTCAATACAGCCTCCTCAGTCTTATCGTTCTTCAGGGCCCTCTTAAGATTCCTGAGGTTTGACAGGGTAGCCGTGTTGCTCTCGGACTCTCTCAGCTTCTTCTGGTTATACCCGAGACGCTTCTGATAAATCTGTGCACGCTTGGTCTCGATCTTGATAAGTTCCTCGATGATTCCCTTGGCATCAGAGATATCCTTTACAGCCTTGTAGAACTCACCACTCTGACTGACATTATCGAGACTCATCTGATCAAGAAGCCTTCCAGAAAGGAGATCCTTTGCGAGCTTGGAAGATATCTGCTCACTCTCGAATATTGCATCCTCGAGGCTTCTTCTGGTAATCCTGCGGAAGAGACCCTTGATAGCCTCAACAACTCGGCTTATGAGCTGACGGAACTTACTCTTCGGCTCAGCATTATAGAGCAACTGTTTTGCTACGAGTTTACCGGCTGCCTCCTCAACAATCTTGGTTCTCCAGTCCCCTCCCTGCTTCTCGTAGATGGTCTCATACAAGTCATACTCCCCATCAAAAGCCTGACGCAGTGCTTCCTCGTCGTTGGAGAGAGCGTCGATAAGCCTCCTGACAAGAGGATTCTCATAACCAAGCATCGCAATAGCTACGTGAGCGAACTCCTCAGGGAGTGCTGCTTCACCTTGTGCTCCTTCAGATATCTTGACCATTTCGAGAAGTCCGTTAGCAAGTACCTTTGCTGTGTCGAAATCAGTGATACCATGTACAGAAAGACTGTTCTCTGCGTAGGCTATTATATCATCAGCTGAGAGCTTGCCTACTCCCACTCCAACTCTCTGAAGAATATAACGAAGTCTTTCGTTGAGGTCTGCGTATGCCTGTTGTCTACGTGCCTCACGGACATTGTTAGGTGTAGCAGGGACTCTTTCAGTCACTACTGTGGGATTACCATTATCGTCTTCTCTCATACGAGTGATAGAGAGCATCTGTCCTCCGAAGAAACTTGCTGCCTGAGCACTATCTCCTATAGACTTACCCTTCAGTTTTGCTACGTATGCCATATCATCTTCTGGATCCATTGGCTCTGCATCTGCTTGAACAATAGTTCTGCTCGCAGGTTCTACAGGATTAGGAGCAGCCTCAGTAAATAGCCCTGTCTTTATCCACTCCTCGCTGAAGATAATATTTTCAGGAATTGCACCAGCAGCCTTGAACATTTCAATCATTTCTATGCCGGTATACCCATTAAGAGAAGCTTTATCCGTATTGCGATAAGCTACCATAAACTTCTTGGTAGGATTCTCCTCAGCAGTAGTATACAGCTTCTGAATAGACTTGATGATTTCTTCCTCAGGAATTGAACGAAGAGAGTTATTCTCCTTTACTCGAAGATCCTTTGTCGGAAGAGCATAAGCATTTCCAGTCAGGCCTTCTCCTACCCCATATTCTGCTCCGAATTGCTCTCTGGCTACCTTCGCAGCTCCTGCACCGTGCCTACCTTCAGGATTGCTTCCGAACACCATTATTACATTGCTTTTAGGAGTAATCTGTCCTGTATAATATTCCCGTGTTGCAGTGCTTCCAAAGTTGCCGCTTTCATACTGTGTAAGAGACTCCTCCATAGCTTTCTGGTATTCTTCAATCTCCTTCTTATTCTTCTCAGCATTCTCATGAGCTTTCTTGAGTACCTCAAGACGAGCGACTGACATCTGGTCTGAGGTAGGGGCAGCTCCAAGGCTTTTCATCAGTAAGGCTGCATTCTCGAGATGCCTAAGCTCCTTTCGAGCAGTAGGCATATCTGCTACTGTAAGACTTTGCGACGCCGATGTATCATAATCCTGAGGAGCATCGAAGTTAGCATTACTGTCAGTGCTATCAGCAACACCAAAGTCTCCCCATACAGACTCGAAACCTACCTGAAAAGGAGTCATGTCTTTTCCATCAAGTCCTGGGTTATACTCTACAGTAACCTGACCACTTCTTGTACGTGTACCAAGCTTCTCATGTTTGATGAACGGTAGGGTCTGATCGTTGATTCCGACATACTTCATAAGCTCGTACTCCCCGTCCTCCTGTTTTATGAGATAGAACCTTCCTGGTATAAACTGCTCTGGAACCAGATAAGTTTTCAAATTAGGATTGAACTTTGTTCCCATTGCCATAGCCAAGTCCGCACCGAATCTTTTGGAGTCAAATCTTGGAACAAGACCATCATCGTACCAATGATTCATAACATACTGGTCAATGAGCCTGCTTACACTTGTAGAATCTCTGTAGTCAGCTTTAGCAACCTGATTCAGAGCACTAAGTACCTTACCTTCTTTTGCGGTACGGATGAGAAAGTAAGAGGCAAGATGTGCAAACTCTCGTGATCCAAAAGCAAAACCGTTGGTAAACAGTCCATACTCAAGGAGTTCCTGAGCTATATTTGCTGCTTCTTCTAAGCAGTGGTATCAACGCAGAGTACTAATCCACTCACTACGGAACATATCGGACATCTTCGAGGCATCTAGGCCTCCAGTAACAAATGCAATCCTAGGCTTAGATCTTTCATCTTCTGGGTAATATACTGTCAATTTCTTGAAGAAGGCGTTCTTTGCAAGATCAAGTAACTGATTGTCTATTTCCAGCTGTGCCTCTTGTTTGTACTTTGCTATCTCTTCTGCACTAGCCCCAGCTACGCCGGTTTCCTTTCTTCTTCTCTCAATAGCTGCAAGTTCCTTGATAGCTTTTTTCTTAAGTGTATTATTTTTACTGTTTCTGGATACCTTAAGTTTGAGATCTAAAAGAGCCTTCGGTAATTCAGAAAGGATATGCTCCTGCTGTTCCTTGAAATTCTCCTTGTACTCTGTAGTAGAAAATATCTGAAAAAGGATCATGTCCTTAGCTATATGGTCAAGTAATCCCTTATTCTTTCTACTCTTCAAATCATACATATTGTATATCTCATTGAGCACTTTCATCCAGGATTTCCTAGCCTGAGGAAACCAACGCTGCATGAAGAACATCGAAGCTTGAACCTCAAGAGCTTCCATAAGAGCATACTGAGGGATAGAAGATTTATTGGACCTTTCTATAATCACTTCTGACTTTTCACCATCCTCGAAATCAATAGGCTTTGCAAACTCTTCAAGGCCACCAATCCTGAAAGATCCATTAGCAATCTTCTCACGAACTTCCTCTGCTGAGAAAATCTTAATCTGAGTATTTCCAATTGATGAAGCGACTCCGCCTGAAGAAGACTCAGGACGAATGATAGAAGTGATGAATGATTGCAAGTCTGAAGCAGGACCGTTGAGCTTCTGGATGATAGAAAGTACATTAACCTGGAAAGCAGCCGCTGCCTGGTCGGTAGCAAGAGAGTTCCAATCTACCAGCATATTCTGAGCATACTCAGGTTCAAGTGTTTTCCCTAAGTCTTCAGTTGCTCTCTTAAATCCGTAATACAGTAATGCTTCTCCATGAAGCCCCTTGATATTTGCCTTGACAGTTGCCAATGCCTCTGAGAAAGACACATGCTGTACAGCACATACCTTGAGTGCTTCCTTTATTGCTGGCTGAGCAAGCATAAGATAGATCTGGTCCTCAGTCATTCCAAGAGCACACATCAGTGCTACTACAGGAGCTACTTCTGAGGTGATATTGGCATACCCAAGGAGAGGGTCCTTACCATTATCCACGGCGGCATTGATGAGCCTTGAGAGAACTCTTGATGCCATATCTGCACTTGTTATATCCTGAATCTGGAAAAGGTTTCTATTACTGAAATCATGATCGAACAGTATGAAGGGAACCTCTACTGTATCTCCATCCTTCGTCTGCACGGTAAAAGGCTTGAGAAAAGCTTTAGTCTTCTGCATCATCTGGAAAGATGACAGGTACATGGCGAAGATACCGATCATCTCGGAAGACTCAATCATATATCCGAATGACTCTACCTCATGACCGGCGGAGAAAGGAGATACCTTAGGCTGATACTCCCTAATTAGGTCGGCTATCACTCCTGAATCAAGCGGCTTCCAGCTCTTACCCTTGGGGACGAACTTTCCACGAATCATATTATAGAGCTTTGCTATATCCGTAGTCTCGGGCTCTCCGTAATGGTCAGTTATTTTCTTACGTAGTGCAGCATTATTTTGAGCAATTCTCAGAAGCTGAATACCCTTGATCACTCGCTTGGTCTCCTCACATCCTCCAGGAATAATTATTCTACGAGAGCCGGCAGGAGAAGAAAGCTGTGCATATAAGAGTTCTACCTTCGCATTATGCCTAGCCTCCTCAGTGTTCTCCAGTGCGGACTTGGAATAATCATACTCTACAGGAACAACCTTATAGTATTCGCTGTAATACTCCTTATTCTTATCTACGGCCTTCTTGAAGGTTTCGAAAGCTTCGTCCACTTTTCCTTTGGACAAAAGATACAAGTCGTCCTCACTAAGCTCGTATCCTCTTTTTGTTTTGTTAAGGATAAGATTGTCGAAGTAATTACGAAGTTTCTCCTCATTCAATTCAAGATCGAAATATTTGTAGTGTATAGGCATCTCATCACCGTCGTAGTCATGACCCGTGAGTTTCATGATATCCATAGGGAGAATAGCATTACGTCCACTCAGAGGAGACAGGAAACCCTTTATCTTGATAGGTATGAGTGAGTGCTCAGCGTCGGAAGGCGTACGGTAGCCTACTGCATACAGATAGGATTCGGGAATAGTGCCGTCCTTCACAAGCTGACGAAGCCGTTTCGGGGTTATCTCACCATTCTTATCCGCAAAGATTTTCAATCTGCTATCGGTAAGGGGAACGTAACCATCCACAGAAGCCATCCTCTTATTAGCTCCTTCTCCTTCGAAATTAATTTTCAGGCTACCACCTTCCTTTTCTGAGAATTGACCGAGCTTGGCAAGATTAGTCTCTCCTGCATCCCAGCCGATGGATGTTCTCTGAACAAGACGGGCACCAGGGCCCTTATGCTTGGTCATCCTCTTCTTGATAATTGACAGGATGATTGCTTGTGCTTCATGCTGTACCTGAGGAGAGAAGAGAGGAATTTCATTATTATAATCCTTCACCTTGGTAAGAGCAATCCTTGTCTCGTCTGAGACATAAGGCATATTACTCATCTCCTTAAGAAGAATACGCCGTGCTTTTACAGCGTCGCCAATCTCATCACATAGTGCTTGCCAATCCTCAACTACGGTGGCAGATGAAATATCATCATAAAGCCTACGAGCTTCCACTGCATTCACCTGCCCAAGACGAGGAACGTATACCATATCTTCTGGAGAGGTGTTTCCATAAGCCATCTTCTCTGCCTGAGATGTAATATGGATGTAAGTATCAGTAGTCTCTGCATCGATGATTGCTGCTTCCCCCAATCCTCCCAAATGAAGCCTCTGCACTGCATTAGGTGATGTAGCAACTGCGGATAGAATATTGTTCCTGATATCCTTATCAGTAAGAGGTTTCGAAGACCCCTCTTTCTGTTTCCAAGGGTCAACGACATCATGTGCTCCTACTTTACATCCTGAATGGAACAAGAACAAATCAGGAGTCTTATCAGGATACAGGTTCTCCATAACTTCCACTACACGAGAGAGGGCCATCATAGGTATGTTCTCTCTCTCCATAGCTGTAAGTCCTGTAAGCTTATGCCAAGGAAGCAGTACCTGCTCCGAGTATTTATGAAGAACAGGAACCTTTACTGCTTTCTGCTCAATTCCTTTTGTTCCAGTCTGTGTAGCATCTATCTCCTGATATCCGGCATATCTGTATTTCTCAGCTGACAGTCCAAGGTCTTCAATTAATGACTGAGAGAAGTGTCCCTCGTTGATTGCCTTATATGCGTTCTCCTGAACATCAGTCCACTTTCCAAGAGCACGACGAATCTTCCTCCAGGAAGCAAGTGTTCGTAATCCCTGACCATCAGTAGACTTGATCTTTTCAAAGTCCTTAAGAGCAATGTCTGCCATTTCCCGAGACATCTTCTTCTCCGCTACGAGAGCCTTGAGCATCTCTTTATACTGTTCAATATTGACAGACTTTTTAGCCTCGTAATCCTTGAGATACATCACGTTCTGATATGCATCTTCCTCGTTACGGAAATATAGCGGTGTAGCAGGAGCGTGCAACATCATAGCACGCTTCTCGAAATCCAAGAGTCCGTCGAAATGAGATTTATCGATAAAGAAAAGCTTAACCATCTGCTGACGAGCATAGAAAGTCTGCATACTGAATCTCTCAAACTCAGTAGCAAACTCAGGCTTCATACTCTGCAGCCTTCCATTAGCGTCAACCGTAACATTCTTTTTGAACTCGGGACTAGCAAAAGCACCTACCTCCTGATAGATACGCAAGTCATTAAGGTAATTGTTATAAAGACACTTTGAGACGGCACGTTCCATATACTTGAGACCATCTACAGGACTCTTGCGACACAACTCCTCATACTTCTCACGGAATCCAGGAGTATTCATTTCCGGGAATATCTGGAACTGCCTTCCTTCTTTTTCGTAAGTCTCCAGCTCTACTCGACCTTCTTTTTTCATTCGGTCTTCAATAGCACGGATTCTGTCGTATTCACACAGGACCTCATCAAGCATAGCCTGAACTATAGGGGCTTTTGTGTTGAATACTGCATCGCCTTTTGCAGGATCTCCTGATATAAGGAGTGATGTCTTGTCATTATCCTCCTTTATATTTCTCTTTATATCAGGAAGTGCTTCCTTAGGAACACTGAGAGAATAGCATACAGTATAGTCAGCAAGTACCGGCACGATAAACTGTGGCTCCTCATACCCATTGGATCTCCAGAGAATGAACTGAGTATTAGCTACCTGCTGTTTGCTCATCTCAGCAAAATCTACATGGTTGAAGCTACTTACATCGTTCCTTCTAAATCTCTGAGCCCTATTAGTAATGGACCTAGGATTGATAGGAGACACTCCTTCACCAATAATATACTTCAGGAAGCCAGTAGCCTCACCTTCGTGAGTGAAGCCCTCATATTTAAGATAGTTGTTCTCCAGTTCTTTCAGGAAGTCTGCATCAGATTTCATTCGGTCATTTCGAAGCCTGATCAAAGCAGTGGTATCAACGCAGAGTACTGTATAGGTTTGAAGGGTCTTGCTACCGTCTCTGCCTTTACTGTCCAGATCATCATACACGGCAAGACAAAGAGCGTGCTGAAGACTTTCGAGTGAATCCGAATACTTAAGGAAAGCTTTTGCAGTGTCATTAGCAGAGTAAGCTGCAAGGTTAGAGTATAGGTTAGTTATAGTGCTATAGATAATAGCATAACGATTCTTAGCCCTAGAGAGCATCGAGCCTTTCTTGAAGTACTTCCTCTCCTTCTCGTTGAAAGGAATCATCGCAGCTCTACGAATCTGTTCTCCTGTAATGTCCAGGCCTATACCAGCTGCAAGCTTTACAAGAGCATTAATTTCAGCCTCATTATTATCGAGGAACCACTGCATTCCAGCAAGTCCGGACTTTGCCAAAAGAGGAGAGTACTCTACAGTGCCATCTTCACGAGCTCCCGATACTTTCGGAGCATACTTCTCATCTGTTATATCTCCAGGTATTGAGGTATCAATAGCATCTGCTATGGAAGTAGTATTACCTTCTCTGTTGAGGAGTTGGTTTACTCTCTCTTTTGCTGCTACACTATTAGTAGTCCGCTTACCGCTTCTGTCATATATCGAATACTCTTCGTCAAGAACGTTCGCTCCGAAATTGCACATAAGCTCCCTGAGGATAGCATTATGAGCAGCCTTGGTATTAAGTATTTTAGTCTTGTAATATCCCTTATCAAGAATAATATACTCGTAAGTATTCTGAGCCTTGACAACAGAGGCATACATCGCCGCTGCCGTTACCTCATCTTGCTCCATGAGTCCAACAAGTGTACCCATCCAAGGAAAACTTGCAGAAGCTACTTCAATGTCCTTGATGAAAGACATCGGAGTAGAGGTCCAGCATATCTGAACAAGCTTGTTAAGTGCCTGTCTGGAGTCAATCCTGACTTCAAACCCAAGATCGTCCAGCACCTTTTCTCCATTTCCATTCGTCTGGAAGAGTTTCTTCAGAATATTCTTAGCCTTCTCTGTAACAGTATCAGCAATATCGACAGTACGGAAATCAATATATCTCTTTCCTTTAAGCTCTGATATAGGCTCGTCATCGTTCTCATTAGCCGAATCGGGATCAACAAGCTGAAAAGTATCTACCTTAATACTAGTCTCGTACTCGTTTATATACTTACGGCATAGAACACCTACTGAGTAGGAATAATCATTGAGTCTTTTATACTCGCGTCTGATATGTTCTGCCGTCTTTTTTTCCTCTTCAGTAAGGGCATCATAAGCCTTTCCGTGGAACAACTCAGAGCGGCTAGACACAATCTCCTCGAGTGACATAGCTGCCAGGTCCTTGAGCAAATCTTCAAGGACTTTCTTGACACCACCCAGATCATTCAAGGCAGCACCTCTTGACTTGCGAGGATGCTCTTCCTGGTACTTGTCCAACCTCTCGGGAGAACATTGTTGCTACCATACGGAGTCGATGTTCCTTGGTCTCTGCTCCCCAAACATTGTACATAAGATCATTGATCTCCTTCCATTGACCCTCTGTCATATCGTCAGGAGTCTTAGCTAATTCAAACTTAGCCTGCCTATTATTCCTGTAGTTGCTGAAAGAAGATTTGTTAGCTGGGAACTCAGTGTCGGTTTTATCATAATACTCACGCCATGATGAAAGTGCAAGAGCTATGCGAATAGGTCTTTCGTCAGGGTACCAAGATAAGAGTTCCTTTTCTTTCCGACATATCTCCCGCCGCTCTTCGGTCATGTTCGCCATAGCTTCCTCAGTGAACTGTCCGAATGTTTTAAAATTAATACAAGATGTACTGCCCATAATAATTACTTATGATTTTGATACGAAGATAGTTAAAAGGGGTAGTCACTTTATTGCCTATAACAGATTGGGTTATATTGACCAAAAGCAAGATTTGTTTAAATTTGCACAGTTCATAATTCACATATAAAACATAAAATCATGGCAACAAAATCCGAAGAACTATTAGAGCTGGAACAAATCAAGACTTTTCTAATACTTGTTATAGCAGTCTGTGTGTTTATATGCACAATCAGATTATTCTTCCCGTTCAGGGTCAAGGTTAAAAACACTGTAGATGCTTATGTTGAGAATCAAGTATCTTTCCCTAGTTATATAGATGTGAATATAGCTGGGGTTGGAGGCATGAGGGCTGGATCCCACAGATCTTATACTAATAGAGGTGTGGACTATTACGCCCTAGATGTATTTGACAGATAATCCCCGACATCTCTGCCGGGGATATCCTATGCACAACGGAGTAGTACTTCTTGATCTGACAGAGGCAGCTCATCAAACAGCTGCTCATCTACCCCTTGGGCTTCAAGAGCTTTTTTCTGATCATGGGTTAAGTCCTGATACAAGAACTTTCCCGTAGGACTAGCTTTGGCAACTGCACCTTGACTAAGGACTGAGTGCTTCCCATTATCATGGCCCTTACCTATAAGTCCTTCAGCTTCTAGCTTATCTATTATCCTAGCTGCTCTAGCATACCCTAGACTTAAATATTTTTGAAGTAATGAGGTTGACACTATGTTACGACCTTTAATGAACTCCAGAGCCCTATCATAATGTTCCTGATCTCCGGGTTTCAAGAAATCGTCTGTAGTATCGGGACCTGAAGCAGGAGCAGGTTTCTGCAGCAATCGGTGCTTCAGCTACAGGAGGATCTCCAGCAATTTCTTCTGCTGTGTGTCCGTTCTCAAACTTTCCTGTCTCAGGATTATAAGGCTCGAAATACACATCTGCTCCAAGAGCTCTCAGAGAGTCAGCATTAGTAGTCAGCAGTCCGTTATTCAGCATTTCCTGAATGTGTGTATTAGATTCATCACTGCCATCCAAAGCTACATTAAGAGACCTACCCACCTTGGTATGTCCTTCCTCGTCAGTAGGAGTAGATATTGTAGAGAAGAACTCTTTCAGTGTCTCAGCTGTAATACTGTTCGCCGGTATCTGCCCGAAAAGAGTAGGCTTACTATCCCTCTTGTAAGTTCCATTAGCATAATTATCTGCAAATGAGTATAGACTTACTACAGGGAGTTTGCCTGCCATCAAACCGAAGGAGACATTCATACCATGAATATCCAAGTACTTGTTCAGTTCCTTCAGCACGGCATCCTTGGCATCCTTGTCATACTTCTCGGGATCCTCTGCAAACTTCCTAGCCATATCAACAAGCTTCTCATAACAAGCATTGACCTGGTCGAAAGCATAGCCTGAATTGTCCGCAGTATCAGGATTATAATGCTCTACGTTCAGTCGAATAGGGATGAACATGTTATACCCTTTCCCTACTCCAGCTATCTCTCCATTAGCTAGGTAATATAGATTTCCTCTGTATGAGTCAGGAGAAGCATCAAACATGAGCTTGGATTTAAACGCTTCAAGCAGGTCAGGATTAACCTTTCCTCTTACAGGGATTATCTCATCATTCTTTCCAATAGCAATAATCGGAGCATTCTCGGAGTATCCAGGTACCTTAATAGCCGGAGTATCTGGAGAGGTAAAATGTAACATACCCCCCTCGTCTTACCCATACAGTAGAATTCTTCGAGTATACAAACTTAGAATTACTGTTGTTTCCGTTTCTGTGGGCCCCATATTCTTTCAAAATATCAGCCCGTAATTCAGACAGTCCCTTCCAAGGCTTATCCTTGGGAGAACTCTTCCTAAGGATATTGAACACTTGAGGATTTTCTCTGGTACCTGTGCAGAGAAGAATCTGAGGCTCTCCGTCATACTCTTCCATAATCGGATCTATGACAAAGAATACCTTGTCTCCTTTGCTCACAGTATCCATAGTTTCAAAGGCCCCGTGGTCTTTAAGCCATCTCCAGGTTTCCTCATATCCAGGAAGTTCATCAGGAAGCATCTCTATCTTCATCTTGGCTATATCGCCAAATTTACGTTGCTTATTTTTCTCAATGAGAGCATTCCTACTCCTCGGAGCTATTTCAGGCACAGCCGTATTATAGAAGCCTACACCTATACCATCATTTCTGGCATAACCGTCCTCATCAGGATATTGCCTAGGCATCAACTGAGTAGCTGCCTCAATAGCTTTCTCGACTTTCTTGCCCTCTGTTGTAGACTCGCCTTGGAGATCAGGAGGAGTTGTAATAACAGGCGGCTCCAGGTCAGAAGTGTCAGCCGGCTCAGGCTTCAAGAAATCAGGAACTTCTGAAGCAGGGGCAGGAGCTGGAGTAGCAGGTTTACCTGTACCAGTAGGAGCCTCAGATGCTGGAGGAGGTGCATCCACATCTGAAGGAGCAGGCTTACCTTCTCTGTCAAAAGCATCTGCTATAGGATCATCTACTGGAGGAACTTCTGCACTAGCAGCCCTAGCAATAGCAGTAAGCTTTCGAGCTCTTCTTAAACCGTTGATAATATCAGTAACATGCTGAATAGCTTCATCCCTACAGGCTTCAAGCAAATCAGGTCTGCTGTTACCTCCGCTAAACACAGTTACATGATCTTTCAGATCATCAATGAGTTCCTGTAAGCTAGGGATAAGTTCTTCTCTCATGGATAGGATATCATCGACAGACTGTCCTGTATTGAACATTCTCTCGACAATACGTGTCTCCATAGCAAGAGTAGTGGTAGGCAATGCCCTCTGCTCTTTCTTGACTTTATTGTAATCGTTCTTAAGTTCCTGAATCTTAAAGTACTCGTCAACAGCTTTATTTGAGGAACGTATCTTTTTAAGCTCCTTAATGTAGTCGCTCTTCTCTTTGTTTCCAGAACGCTTGAGCAACTCGACACGAACATCATCTACACTCTTGAGATTAGTAGTCTCCTGTTTAGTATCTGCCTGTTCTGCCTGTTCCACAACAGTCTCAGGAATTTTGCTCTGAGCCTTGTACTCCTCATTAGTCATCTTACGAAGGCTTACAATCTTCCTGAGGAGAGAACGCCTACCCTCTGCCATCTTACGCATATCTTGTAATGCCTTGATAGCCTTACTGGTGTTATCCGCTGCTTCACCTGTAAGCTTCTTCTCCTGGGCTTTAAGATCCTCTTCTATATTGTCTAGCCAAGCATTAAGCTCTGCCTCAGACAAGTAGTCCATAATAGAAGTCTTGACATTACCTGCCATTGCCTGATGAAATTGTTCCTTGACTAACTGGAAATTTTCTTTCAGTCGATTCTCATCTGTTTCTATAGTTCCGTCAGCACGAACAACCGATCTAGCCCTGAGTGCAGGAGATACCAACGCTTCCGTTTTGTTAAGAGTAGAAATAAATCGTTCTTCAAACTTATGGAGCTGCATGGTAGTGAACATCATCTCCTTGAACTTCTCAGAGTTAACATCTGTAGGAGCAACTGAAGCAAGATCTTCGAATACCTTTCGGTAGGTGTCTACCGTGTCCTTCATATCCTTCGCCTGCTCTTTTATACGTTCAAGTATCTTCTCATCTGTCTCATTAGCAAGAACAATATTATCGTCTTCCTTAGTTTTTCTCAAGAATGCACGTATCTTATCGATAGCGTCCTTATCGTTGATGTTGATAGAGGCCTGACTGTCAATGAACTCGTAGAGATCATCAAGCTTTCCGGCATCAGCGAACATCAGCACATCACTAATTAACTGATTATCATTAGCAGTGTGCCAAGCATACTTATCATCATTCTGTGTAGCTTCTAGCATTTGATCATCATAAGCAAGGTGTCTGATATAACCTCTCCAATCGTTTTGGAATTTATCAGAGTTCACTAGCTTATTCAGAGTATCAGCAGCCTTCTGGGAAGCTACCTTCTCCGCTTTGGCCTGCTGTACTTCACCGATAATACCTCCACCCCAGTTTCTGATACGTCTTGCAGGCATACCCAGAAGACCAGTGAGTGCTCCGATGAAGCCTTCATTCCAGTTCTTAGCATCTCCGATATAGTCTGTTGCTCCCTGAACCATCCAGCGGATTGTGTCAGAAGCATCTTCAAGTGCCTTAGGGTCATAACCCATATCATTGAAGTAGGTAACTCTGTTTTCTGCGATATTCTTTGCTCCAGATGAAGCCATGCCCTGAAGCATTTCTTCTGCACCTTCCGATGCAGCTACTTTCAGAGAGCCAAGAGCAGCTTTTCCAGCTACACTATTGACAGTGCTCTTGTAGTTTCCAAATGAGCCTTTTAACACCGGGAGTATTCCTACGAGCAGTTGCCCATCCTCCTCCGAACATCCTACCAAACTGAATAAGATTGGAGGTCATAAGGATAGGCAGGTTCAAGAGGAATGTTGTTCTTGCTAGCTGCTCTCCCTGAGCCTCAGCATACTCCTGAGTCTTCTGGAAGTTCTGGGACAGCTCGAGCTGCCTGTTATACAGTTCCTGTTTTCCTTCTTCGCTGACAAGTACGTTTTTCTGTACAGGATTACCCTCCTCGTCTAGCTCCCAAGTCTGAACAAACCATTCAGGATGTTCTGCATAGAGATTCTCCTCAAGCTGGTTATAGGCTTCAGCATAGTCTTGGTTCATCTTAGGAAGATAAGATTCCATGAACTCATCTTTAGCCATAAGACCTTCGACAGTTCCTTCACCCATAGCAGCAGTAGCAGCACCGAGAAGCTGAGTAGTCAACTCAGCATTACGAATGGTCTTACCAGCTGTTTTGATATTCTTCATGACAGTCTCCATGTTGACATTACCAACATTTCTAGACTGCTGAATAGCTGTGACAGCCTGACGTAACTCATTAGCCGCAACAGTATCTCCTGCCGCACCTGCGGATACAGCACCTTTCAAGAGATCGGCGGAAAGCTTACGAGCAAAGAGGCCTCCTATAAGTTTGTTCCAGGCCATACCGCCAGCCATCGAACCTACAGTGAATCCAAAGTTCTTAATCAGCTGGTCTCCGATATAGTTACCCTGTACCCAGTGACTAGGATTAAGTACCTGTTTCTGGTACTCGTCAGACCTTTCTTCCTCAGTATAATAGTTCGGAAGGAGTTCCTCCATTCCTTTCTGAAGTCCTACCAGGAATTCAGAGACACCATTATTTACTCCGGCAGTAATAGCATTATCCAATCTACTGTCCTTACCAGTAAATGTATCTTCGAGATACTTGAATACTCCTGTACTCAATCCAGCAGCAAGACCTATTGTAGAATTAGCTGCTGTAGTCAGGGTAGTGGCTCCGCCCTTAAGCAAGCCACTACCTACTTTAGTCCACCAGCCTTGTTCTCTAGCTCGGAGATCCTCAAGGTCTTTATCTTCCCTGGAATCCGAATTTGGTATCATACCTGGAAGTTCCCCATCCAGCCTGGGCTGCTTCATGAGCCTGATTCCTATTGTAACTGGGAATGGAGTTTGTTCCTCTCATCAAGTCTCCGATAAGAGCTACTCCTCCTGTAGATTGAGGCCTTTCATCAGGAGTACTGCTCTGAGCAATATCATTGAAAGATAGTTCTTCTCCAGTATCAGACATTCCACTCTGATATATCTCGACCATATTCTTAAGGTCGTTTGTATTCTTCATTTCTGCCATTTGTTATTTCAAAAAAGGATTGTACTGCTGAGGATGTGTTGAAGTGCCTCCTGTAACCTGGAATCCCTGCTGACCTTTAAGTTCCCTAGGGTGAGCAAGAGCAGTATTCATAAACTGCGTAATACCTGTATAAAGGGCATCCTGATACTTACGATTACGTATAAACTCTTTTGCCATAATAGGCTCACCATTATCTTTTACAGGGGCGAACTGATCAAGTATCCAGTACATATTCGCAGTAAGGTTCTTCTCCTCCTCAGGAGAACACTTGAGTACCTTATCAGGATCCATAAGAGGAGTCATCAAGAATGCAACACTGCCTTTAAGGTTATTCAAGGTATCAGCGTTTATGCCGCCTAACATCCTGGGGTCCACACCGAACACTCCCTTAGTAGTGGTTATCCTGACTTTACCATTGAGTAGATCATAGGGGGATACAGCTACAGACAGAATGCTGTCATTCTTAATATTGCCTTGGTTGTCCAGGTTAAATACCTTAGCCTTATCGAGAGTTCCTTGTTTCTCAAACTCTCCTCCTCCCTTAGCTACCTTATAGAATGCAAACTCTCTTGAAGACTCGTCCGTCACCTTAGCCTGAGTATATGCCATGCCTTGCTGGTAGGAAGCAATGATATTATCTGCTAGCTCAGCACGGACACTCTTCATACGTTCAGAAGCATCAGCAAGTATTGCAGGTGCTCTGTGGTCAATGTACTTCTTAGTCTCTATAGCTGCTCTGGTATCCTCAGGAGAGAGGTCCTCTGCTATATCAAATTTCTTCGCCAACTCCTTAAGCTCCTTAGGGCTTATAGTGTTTTCGTTGATCTTGATACCCTTATTATTCTTAAGGATTGATTTTACATAGTCCTGATGGGAAGCGAGTCTCTTGTTATACTCCTTAGTGAAGGAGTCATTAAGTACTCTCTTACCGTTGATAATCTCGAAGATTGCTACAGGATCCTTTGAAGTGATTCCGAGCCTCTTGGCATCCGAGCTCTTAAGGTCTCCTGTCTCAACAGAAATAATCTTTCCGTTTGCTCCGGGAATAGCGGCACGCTGTCTTTGACTCTGTTCTGCCCATCCAATCCTGTGCAGCCAACCCAAGATCGAGCCCTCCGAAATGGTCTTTCACCCATCTCCTGTCAGGAGTATCGTATACAAGAGAGGTAAGCTGCTCTACTGACGATACAGGAACAGTCCTTCCATCAGGGAGTTTCACATTAAGAGGACCATCTTTCTTGAAAGTACCTTCAAACATCTTATTATTGGCAGCTGATGCTTCATCGGCATCCTTAGCCATAATCTGTGAGATGATAGGGTCTACTGTGTATCCTCCCTCCTGTACAGGCTGCTGTCCTGAATTTGAGTTAGGGTTACTTGAAGAGGACTTAGCAGCAGCAAGAGCCATCTGCCTTGCGAACTCCCAGTTCTTATCCTCAAAGTCCTTGAGATCCTGACCCTTGATACCTGAGGAAGCACCCATCATAGCATAGTTGAAGAGACGGTCATACTCTGCTGTATCAAGATTACCATTCTCTCCTGTAGTAGCACCTGTAGCACCCATCCTATTGACAAGTACCTCGGCTGCCATTCGAGTGATAGGATCAAGGCTGTTAAGTGCAGACTCATCGCCTCTCAAATAAGCCTTGGCTGCAATGCCGGCGGAATTAATTTCATCATTGGTAAACCCTTTCTGAGTAACACGAGTGATGTATCCGGCAATTTGAGGGTTCTGCATTATCTGAGGATCACGAAGAAGCTCAGCAGCACGAGCATCCATATCAGCAGCAACCTCTTTTGCGAGTTGATTACCACTGTATGAATACCAATCCTGTCCGTAGTTATCATTATCCAGATAGTTATCCAGTCCCCTAATACCAGGGTCAGCACCCATCACCATATCAGGATTCTTATGCTTTGTGTCCCAGTATTCCTTGCTACGTGACTGTCTGGCTTCAATAGCCTTGGCAAGTCTTGTAATATCACTGGCATATCCTGCACGTGCAGCAGCCAAATCCCGAACAGTGCTGGCATTATAGCCTTTATTCCAAAGATTGTCCTGAAGGGTCTGTAGACTGTCTCTGTAAGCCTGATACAGTTTGTGTGCCTTAGGATCATCTTCTTCACTTATGTAGTTACGAAGAGCCTCTGTGTCCATTGCAAGCTGGTCATACTTTTCAGCAGCAGCGTTCTGAGCGTCAGTGAACTGCTGGATAGGTCTGACCAGTTCGTCATATGTAAACGGAGTAAAATTAGCTCCGTGTGTTGCAATATATCCTGCCATAATTATTTCTTATTCTTCTTACCTCCACAAGCGAACTTATATAGAGGAGCACCGTTCTTTCCGACGTACTGATACAGTGTAGGGTTGTTATTAATCTGATTCATCCTGAAGTTCTCAGTGCCAAGACCTGCAAGTCCAGCAGAAAGATTCTCGAGACCCATACCCACAGCATCTGCCTTTGCCTGTTCTCCAGCATTGTTCATCATCTGAAGACGAAGACCAAGCTGATTATTATACTGAGAGGCAGCATTAAGAGCAGCAGCACGCTGAGCGGAAAGTCCAGCTCCAAGCTGTGACATCTGACCGAGGGCAGTATTGTTTGCTCCTATGACTGCATTTCTCTGATTGTTATTGTCGAACCAGCCCTGATTGAAAGCAGTACCCATAGCATTACCAGTGTTAGCACCGGCACCAAGAAGCAAAGCTCCTGTAGAAGGGCCAGCTCCTGAGTTCCTGATACTTCTTGCAGTAGCCGCACCTGCACGCTGAGCAGCCTGTACCGGCAATGACACATCCATAGGCATGAACCTCTGCATCTGAAGAGGCATATTACCTTCGGGAGAGTACGCCCTTACAGGATTGTATTCATACCTGTCGGGAGTCTGTGTAAGATTGTATGCTGTACTCAGAGCGTTGTTAAGGATACCTGCATACCTAGGAAGAGTGCTATAGTTCGGAACTGTAGAAGCAGACTGTCCTGTGGGTCTGTCAGGAAAAGCAAGTCCGGGAGCAGAGCCTCCAGTAAGAGCACCAGCTGCTGCCTGTTCAACTGTCTGACCTCTAAAGAGAGGTGCACCACGCTCCACATACTGTCCTGTAGGCTGGCTAGGAGCATTCAGGTTCATAAGACTCCTATCAGCATCAGCCATTATTCCGTCGAGGTCAGCATCTGACAGTGCCAACGGAAGCTGTGAGCCGTCTGTCTGACCTGCATTGTTCTGCAAATAATTAGTGTAGGCATTGCCCAGAATATTATGGAACTCCCCGAACTTCTGATCCTGACCGAGCCTTACTGCCTGTTCAGGAGTCAGTGTCCTTCCTGTCTTGCTCTTATAGTACTGAGCAAGATTATTAAAAGTAGAACCATCGTCATTAAATTTCTGGTCATTCAACCAATCAAGATATCCCTGATCATATGCTCCATCAGTGTAATAAGCAAAGCCATTGGTATTGTTATAAGGAAGGAATGCTCTAGGCTGAGCAAGCCTCTGAGGAACTGGTCTCTGAGGAATAGGTACTCCCTGATCCATACTAGGGAAAGGATAGTAGGCAGTGTTTCCTGTACCAAGGCGAAATATCTGACTCTGAGATTCCCCGTCAAACCTATTCACAGGACCTCCTTCAGCGTGCTCATTGAAAAAGCTGTAGAAGTCTGTAGTAGGCTGAGAGTCTGATGCCCTGTCATACTTGTTCGTGAATGCAGATACCACCCCACTCACAGGACCATACTCTACTCCCGGAAGAAGATGAGCGTCGTTCTCTAGTGCGAGGGCAGATTGTGCAGTCTTCACAACTCCTGCACCAATCTTACCTGCTGTTGTAGTAGGCTTCCAGGTACGCCAAAGATATGTAGGATCAAATCCAGTCTGAAGTGCTCCTGTAGCAAGTCTCTTGAAAGTCATAGGTTCTTTTGCAGCCTGTGCAGTAGCTTCAGCTGCGGGTGCTACTGTAGACGCTGCTTTCGTAGTAACCTCCACACCCCTCTGTGCTTTAGAGTATGCTTTCTGTGCAGCCTTGTATGCTTTTTCCCTAGCCTCGATAGCACTCTTTGTCGCTTTTACCTTCTCACTAGCCTTGGTATATCCAGCCTGTAAGTCCTTATAACGAGCAGCCTCGGCTGTTGAAATCTTACCTCTGGCACTTTTAGCTGCCAGTTCTGCAAGCTCTTTATTTATAGTATTAAAGTTTTCAGTAGCTTTAGCAGCAGTATTCTTAGCTCTAGTAACTGCACCCTTGGCAAGAGATTGTACTTTCTTTGCTTTCGCTGTGGCTATCTTTAACTGCTCTGCTTCCTCAAATGCTTTAGCAGCAGCCTCTCCAGTCTTAGGAGCAGACTTCAGAAGAGTCTTAGCTTTGGAATAAGCAGCTGTAGCTTTCTCTGCGACGGCAGGAAGAGTCTTTACTGCTCCTTTTACTAACTGTATTCCTTTAGTCGCAGGACTGCCTATCCACCCAGGTATACCGATAGAGTAACTAGGCTCCAAGTATCCATGCTCTGCATAGTACTGCTTCTGCTCATCTGACAGTCCTGAAAGAAGAAGTGCTTCCTCATCTTCACTGAGAGGCCCTCCTGCACCATACCTACGAAGCAGGCCTCCGTTAGCTGCCATCATGGGCATCGACTGTTGTTCCTCCATAGACATTTCCTGAGGCATCTGCTGCATCATAGGGGCCTGTGACATTTCCTGTGAAGCCTGTGCTGCTGCCATCATTGACTCCAGCTGACCAAGTTCCTCAGGAGACATCTTGTTGATCTGTCTCTTGAGCTTAGCTGCTTCCTTCTTCTGCTTCTGGGCTTCCTGAGCATCAGCAAGTCTGTGGAGCATCACCCTAAGACCATTGTTGGATATAGGATCATTAGGCCTTAGCTCTGCCTCGGAAAGGATTTTGTCAGCCGCCTCAGAGTAAAGCATACCTGCATACTTCTTAGGAATAATGAACTTGTCTAGAATTCCACCATCAGCATAGATGTTATCCGAGAATACATAATCATCATATACAGGCTCTCCTTCCTCGAGAAGATTAGGAATGCCGTTAGGGTCTACACCTACTTGAACTCCTCCATAAGGATTCTCCTGATGTGACCCTCCTGTATTTACCTTGAAATAATTTTTCGGTGCAAAGTACCCACCGTGAGTATCGAACTTTCCCATACCCTTATCTTGATTTTTTAATTCTTACCAATGTTCCGCCCTTGCAATGATTGTGATAGACTCCTGTACCGACAGGCTTTCTCGTAGGATGAAGCATTCCGCCTTCAGCCATACGAGTACCGTACTGGGTACCGAACTGGGTTCTCTTTGCTTGGTCAGCGTTTGACTGAAAGGCTATTGAGTTCATTCCTTGCTCATAGGCTTGAGACCTGTTCATGATGCCTGCATTCAGTCTGTTCTTACGCTTGGCATCTGAATCTGCACCGATACCTCCTAGGAGTCCTACAGCGGCTCCTGCTACTCCTCCCCAGAGCCCACCAAGCTGTGCTCCTGTAGCTGCTCCAGACAACATCGAGCTTCCGATATTCATAGCTGACTGACCTGCAGTAGGATTGAGATCCCTTTCATCAATATGAAAACCTACAGGAGTAGTATCATAGGCATTGAGAAGAGAGTCATTGTTATATGTGTTATATCCTCTCTGGGCAGACATATCTGCAAGCCTGTTCCTATATTGAGTAATATCAGCTCCCTGACCATTTTGCTGCAACTGATTGCCAAGAGAAAAGGCCCCATTGAGACCAGTCATAGTTGCATCAAACAGGAGGTCGTCTCTTGTAGACTTAAGCATCTGCTTTTCAACTTCACTAGCAGCAGAGCCAAGCCTCGAGTTGATGTCTCGAAGCTTGGTCATATAGTTCTCGCCCTTTCCAGGGACCATGCTTAATATGTTAGGTAAGCTCATACTACAAGTTGCTAAAGTATTTTACTACAGCAGTATGCAACTGCATCATGTCATGACCAAAGTTACCACTGTTCTTCTTCAGTTTTACATACACCCAAGGATTCCTTATCCTGTCCAAACCAAACTTGTTACCTGATGTAACATCTTTAGTTGCTCTAGGAATATCCATCCTCCAAGTACGGAACTTCTTAGCCACATCAGGATACCTATCAATACCAGGAAGGGACGCCCTGGATGGGATACTTACTTCTCCTGTGGTCTGATACTCGTTCCACACCTCAACTGAATCAAAAGTCTTGTTGGTGTATTTGGTTTTGATATCTCCGTCGATAAACTCCATCTCCGGCACATCACCTTCAGCAGAGAGCACCTCAAGGAAATCAGCCTGATATTCTATATTGGTCCAGATCTTATCAAAAAGCATATCAGGAGCAACACGCCATGTTATCCAGAAGGGTTTATCCTCCCCATAGAAGTTACAGTAGTCCCCCTCGTTCTGAAGCCACAAGGAGAACTTTCCGTTCTTGTCGCTGTGATAAGACACAAACCTATCAGAGATATTGGTCATCATCTGAACCTTAGAGTAGTCATAGAATCCTACAAATCCTCCAAGCACCTCGCTGTATACAAGACACGGCTGCTCTTCATTACTGCTATTGACAAAGTATACCTCTGAATGAGCCTTGTCATAGAAAGCTACAGTGTTGGAATCGTCCTTGGGGTTCCATACTCCAGTACTATTATTGCTACGTACCCAAGCGTCCAGTTGAGATTTGGTAGACAAACTCTCGACTCCGTTACCCGAGAACAGACCGATAATCTTGTTGAGGTTATCTACAAAGAACAGCCCTGTCTTTCCCTCAACGATAGACCATTTGTTCTGTGCTCCATACTTGTCCGAGATGTACCTCTTGCCTTCTACCTTGCCGGAGTTTGCTATCTCGATAGGAACTCCATCAGCTGTAGTAATCTGTGTTCTGGAATTAAAGAGAACCTCTGCAATACCCTTATCCTGGAAAGATACAATGCTGTTATTGAATCTCCTGAGTGCATTGAGTTTACCTTTATCACCATCAAGCTTCAGAGAAGAAGCAAGTGTGATATGCAACCATTCATCTATATCAGCACCATCATTCTTCTGCATAGACCAAGTAATTGAACTCTCATAAGAGTCCAGATCAAACTTCTCGTCCATAGCATAAGCCTTGAACATATTGTTTCCCAGAGAGTATACAGGGTTGACAGTTCCGAAATTGGTCACATCGATATCTGTAAGACGTGTAGTTCCTCTATCAATATCATTACGTCCCTTCTACATTGATATGACTTTCCAGCATTACAGAAAGACCATTGATTACCTGGTTGACATCATCAGAGCTTCTAGGTACAGCCTTGAGGCTGTCCCATCTCTGAAAGAAAGTATCTCCTTCATTTCCGATAAGCGTAGCTGAGGTATTATTCTCTACGGCTGAAATAATATCTACCTTCACACTTGCAGGGATGAAAGTGTTTGACTGCACATTAACCTCAGAGATGCCTCCATATCTTGTGTCGAGAGACTTGTCCTCAAGAGCATCGAAGTCTGTATACAGTTCTCCAATGAATGCATACTGACATCCCGGAGTTATCAAGTCGGAGCCTATGATGTACGCTCCCTGGTCTACAGAGTAATAAGAATCACTGCTAATCTTCGCTCCAGGGACATAAGTGTCCTTTTTGACAGACAGCCGCTTATTGTCATACAGGTTAAGGAATATATACATCGTATCAGGATCCTCAGGTATAGGTATGCAAGGGGCATTCTTAAGTTCCATTCCGTGAGAAAACTTTCCTTCACCTATATCTCCCAAAGGAACATCTACAGAAAAGGAAGCCCACTGCCCTGACAACAAAGAGTCCTCAACAAGATTAACTCTGAAAGATGCTCTGGCATGAGTTACTGTACTAGCCCTAGGCTTCGAAATAGTAGGCTCTAGAGTAATAGTTTTCTCACTAAACGGATCAGAGTACGGAAGGTCCTCCTCAATACTGGTCACTATCTCATCATTACTATTTAACAACTCAAGGGTTGTATGTATCTCTGCAGCAATCGAGCCTTCAGTAGTTATAGAAGCTTCAAAATAGAACTTCGTCAACCTAGTATCTTCCTCTTTATACAGACGGGCTATTACTTCATGGGATATGAAATTCACTTCTGAGAAATCTACAAGAACATACTCTCCATACACAACAGAGGAAAATTCCGGGAAATGGGCCATGGCATACACGGGCTTTTCAAGATCTGTTCTCTTGTATACTTTAACCAGTTCATTAAGTTCTTCCAACTCTATATCACTGAACACTGTCCTGCGTAAGGATACAGTGTCCGGCTCGTGGTCGGGAACAATAACTGGATTGAACTCATAACTGCCCACCTCGAAATCAGTCAAGTCTATCATTGCTCGTCCTATATATCTCGAGAAGAAGACTGACAAGGAGGAGAAGATATTGTCTGCTGCTCCGAATAGCTATATGATGTACATGTGGCACAAGGCAGGCAGTATTCCGGCATCGACATATAATGAGAAGAAGATATCCGTCTTGAAGAAAAAGACGTTTGCAAATATGTACTTCTCATATTACTCTGCATATAATAACTATCAGGAGAATGAATGGTCAGTATCTCCTATGGATGTGAGGTACTTCAATGCTGTGTCTTCCCAGTTGTACGAACTGCAAGTTCCCGAGGGTAAGCGTCTGTACTCTGCCAATATTGATGAGGTAGTAGTGATGCCTGTCAACACCGAGTACCCTGTACGATACTCGAATGATTTCGGTGACTCGTCAGAGACTCCCAGCCTTGTCGAGCTTGGGGAGAAAGGATCTGACGGCAAGTATGAGGATGTGAAGACCTGTGCAGATCCTGTGCGTATTACATACAACTCTAACCCTCACGCAGTCATCAGTCTGCCTGAGAGTAACGAAGCTAACAAGATTCTTCCGTACATCTTCGACAGGGACAAGATTGTCATTGGAAGGCAGACAGAAGACCTTAAGGGACCTTTCGCTCCCTGGAGAGATACATCAGCCAAAATTCCTGATGACTTCAGGGGCTATATCTTCAGGAAGTATCAGAGCTATGAAGACTTGACTGATTTCGAGGTGGGCAGTTATGAGTTCAATCCAGTTATTGTTCCCGACCACGAGCCGGACACTGTATCCTTACGCAGGACAGTGTTCAGTGATATAGAGTTGGAAGAACTTAATGAACTGGTTAAAGTATACAAGAGAACAGATCTTGAAAAGCCCGTGTATGCCATGGCCCATTTCCCGGAATTTTCCTCTGTTGTGTATGGAGAGTATGTTCTTGTAGATTTCTCAGAAGTGAATTTCATATCCCATGAAGTAATAGCCCGTCTGTATAAAGAGGAAGATACTAGGTTGACGAAGTTCTATTTTGAAGCTTCTATAACTACTGAAGGCTCGATTGCTGCAGAGATACATACAACCCTTGAGTTGTTAAATAGTAATGATGAGATAGTGACCAGTATTGAGGAGGACCTTCCGTACTCTGATCCGTTTAGTGAGAAAACTATTACTCTAGAGCCTACTATTTCGAAGCCTAGGGCTAGTACAGTAACTCATGCCAGAGCATCTTTCAGAGTTAATCTTGTTGAGGACTCTTTGTTGTCAGGGCAGTGGGCTTCCTTTTCTGTAGATGTTCCTTTGGGAGATATAGGTGAAGGAAAGTTTTCTCACGGAATGGAACTTAAGAATGCCCCTTGCATACCTATACCTGAGGATCCTGATACGATGTATATATTCCTTAACCTGTATGACAATAAGCGGCTGTCTGTCAAAAAGGACACTTATGTCCCTGGAGCGAAGATTAGCAGTGATTCTTATTACTCTGTAGACCAGGGAGCGTACATCATAGGCTCCGACTTGATAACTCCGGGATGTCAGTATGCATTCATTGGAGAACTGTATACAGACTTCGATGCTCTTGAGGACAAGTCTCTCGACACAAGATATGGAGGCATCTCTGAGGTTAATGTGCAGTCAAACACTTTCATCCCTGCAAGTGTGAAGGTAGATATTATTTCAGCCGTAGAGAATAATACCTCAGCTACGCTTATCGGAAATGAAGGAGATACTTTCTTTCAGAGATGGGACAGCCTCAAGGCTGTACCTAGAAGCTCTGATGATGTCAACCAGGTAATCAATGGTCTTTCTGTAATGCTGGAAAGTCATATCAATGTAGAAGGACGTAATGATATTGATAGAGGAACTACACGTCTTACAGATATCGATGTGACCAATTTCGGAACTGTCAACCCTGTATACTCTCTGGGAAACAATATGTTCAAGGCTTATGCTATGGACGAGAAGTTTGATCTGGACTCTTATGAGAGTTCAATTACTTGGTCTATGCAGAAGAATGATGGTGCTGATATAGATGAATGGTTGCATATCACACTTGCTTCTTCTCTGAAGCTTGATGGTGATAAAGGTAAACTCAATGCACTCAGGAGATTCAATAACAGCATTGTATCTTTCCAGGATAAGGGTATTGCAGAGGTTCTCTTTAATTCCAGAACACAGATTACTACAGCTGATGGAGTTCCTATCGAGATAGCAAACTCCGGCAAGGTAGAAGGCAAGAGGTACATCTCGGACAAGTATGGAGCACAGAACAAATGGTCTATCGTTGAGGGAAAGACAGGGCTGTTCTTTGTAGATAACCTCAACAAGATTATCGGTCTGTTCTCGGGTAACGGAGTCGAGAGTTTGTCTACCAAATCTCAACTGGACGCTTGGGTACGTAGCAATAATAGTACTGGAGTATGGAACCCCAAGGACGATTCCAACACTGTAGCTTTCTATGACAAGGCTCATTCAGAGGTATACTTTGTCAATAGCAGTAATGAAGAGCAGCCGTGTCTTGTATACAGCGAGGTGCTTGGAGGATTTGTAGGATTCTATGACTACTCTAAGGTTCAGATGATGACCAATATCTCTGATAGGTTTGTGTCTTATCACAGCGACAAGAACGGAAAGTTCTCCTTGTGGCTTCAGAACGAGGGGGACTACTGTAACTTCTATGGGGAGGATAAACCCTTCTGGATAACATGGCGTGTTGCTCCTGATATGCTTTTTGATAAGATCTGGACCAATATAGAATATCAGGCTGATTTCCTTGAGGTGCTCTCTGCTGAAGGTGATGTGCCGGAGATGGAGTTTATCGACGGAGATATCAAAAACCAAATACACCAACAAGACTTTTGATTCAGTTGAGGTGTGGAACGAGTATCAGACCACAGGAGAAGTAAGTATCCCATCCAGGGCGTCC